ATGTTCTCGAGGAGCGAGGTCGAGCTGGGTCGTGCCACTCTGGTTCGGGGAGCTCGTGGAGGAGGAGGAGGGAAATCATCCGCCCGGCGGGCGCTGGTGTGCGACAGCGGTCGGGCCGCCTGGAAGGGGCATTTCAGCGCATTCGAAGTGGTTCGGGGGCTTCGGAAGAGCGATTGTGCCGCGAGGCGACTCGTCAATGGGCGGCTCATCTTGTACACATCACCGTCGGGGTTGGCGATCTTGAAGGGATCTAGCACTCCGATTTTTGCATAGACGGGATGAACCTCCGGCGCCACCCAATTCTGCCGAGGCTTTGCCGGCACGCCGCTTTCCTTTCCGCCCGCAACCGAGATCGCAGAACCAAAATTTCCTCCCGCGCATTCTACGTCCTTCCACATATCTTTTCTCCATCGCCCTTTAATCCACGATCAATCCCGTTCTGTGGAGGGCTCCTCGTGTTGTTGCAATCATGAATTCCCTTACGAGAAAGGCGGCGCACTCCGAAAACGTCCTGTCCCGGGCGTCCGTCCATCTGAGCTCGGCCGGCAGATCCCCTGCGTACCGACGATTAGCTTCTCAACTCTCCCAGAATGCTAGCCGCGATGGTGCCCGGCCACAGGGCTCAATGCTCTCCGGCGCAATTCGCTCGCCTTTGAGGTCCTCCTTCCTTCCATCCGAACTTCACTTTACTCCCGCCGTTCAATCTCGCCTCTTCCACGTCTCTAGCCAGCTCGCTCAAGACGAGAAGCCGAAGACGGAGCAGACCCCACCAGGGACCAAGGAAAAAAAGGCTGCCGAAAGCGAATCCGAGGCCAAGCCCCAAGAGACCGAGTCCAAGCCCCAAGAGACCGAGCCCAAGCCCCAGGAGACCGAGTCCAAGAAGACCGAAGAGGGCGAGAACGGCGACAAGGAGGGCAAAGAGGAGAAGGATGGTAAGGACGGCGAGGATGAGGGCAAGCAGGAGAAGAAGAAGGAAGATCTCCCTCCCCCCCCTCCTCATGGCGACAAGACTCCTTGGCAGGTGTTCATGGAGACTATGAACACTGAGTTCCAAAAGTCGCAAGAGTGGAACGAGTCGACTAAGCAGATTGGCGCCGCTGCCCACCAGTTCTCCGAAAGCGAGTCAGTTCGACGTGCTCGTGAAGCCTACGAGAAGTCCACTGGTGCCATCACCGACACGGTCGGCGGGGCCGTCAAGACGACTGCCGGCGCCATTGGCAAGGGTGCCGCCTGGACCTGGGATACCTCAGTTGTTAAGGGTGTGCGCAAGGCCGCCAACGTCACCGGCGACGCCGTGGACAAGGCCACCCAGCCCATCCGCCAGACTGAGGCTTACAAGAACGTGAAGGATGTCATCGATGATGGTAGCTCTTCACGATACGGTGGTTGGGTCGAGAAGGAGGAGCGCCGTAAGCGACGAGAGGCTCTGAATAAGCAGCGCGGTGCGGAGGGTGGGGAGGCCATGCAGGAGGACCCTGAGTAAGTTTGGCAATTTCTTGTTTCCCGAGAATACCTGCTAATGTTCAACAGAGCCGGCACCAACGTAACGCTCCACAAGGACGCCGCCTGGAAGGAGGCGTGGAGAGACTTCCGCGATACCAGCTCGCTCGTTCAAGGCATCTTCAGCATGAAGGGCAAGTACGAGGAGTCGGAAAACCCCCTCGTGTCGACCGCTCGAAGCATCACCGACCGAATTGGCGGATTTTTCGCTGAGAACGAGACTGCCATGGTCATTAAGAAGTTCCGATCGATGGACCCCGCCTTCCAGGTTGAACCCTTCCTGCAGGAACTCCGGGAGTATATCCTCCCCGAGGTTCTGGATGCCTACGTCAAGGGTGAGACGGAAACGCTGAAACTGTGGCTATCGGCCGCCCAGTACTCCGTCTACGAGGCCTTGACCAAGCAGTACCTCCAGGCCGGTATGAAGTCGGATGGACGTATCCTGGACATCAGGAACGTCGACATCCTCCGGGCTCGTATGCTGGATCCCGGCGAGGTGCCTGTCTTCATCATCACTTGCCGCACCCAGGAGGTGCATGTCTACCGCAACGCCAAGACCAGCCAGCTTGCAGCAGGCATGGAGGACAAGGTGCAGCTAGTAACATACGCCATCGGCATCACCCGAGTGCCCGAGGACGTCAACAACCCTGAGACTCGGGGATGGCGTCTGATTGAGATGCAGAAGAGCGGCCGAGACTGGTACTGATCTCAGCGCGCTCACATCCGGCGTCATGGCGGGGAGTGTTTTGTTGGATATAAAAAGACGGAGCGCGGTCGACCTGCGGCAGGGTCTGGCCAACATGTGTTAATAAATGTACAGTACGAGCAATCATGTGGAAGATACCAGGCCTCTCGACATGACGAAAAAACAATTTATATGGGGGAGGATGGGGTTTTGGGCTGCATATCACCAAAAGGAAAACAACACGCCGCTCTGCTTGCCTCGAAGGGGAAACCGAGGCTTTGTATGTACGATTTACCTATGTATAGGGGATGCGATGGGATGAGAGATGAGGAGGGAACATGCATGGTTGGGGTTGAAGGCATAGACATTCAGATAGGGAATCCCTAAATCTGACCTCACGACATTTAATGCCGAATGATGATATGCCCCATTTCAATACGAGACTGGGCCATAAATACCCTTGAGCGTGAAAATTTATGATAATGTCTAAGGAGGCTAATGAGAACGTGGATCGCAAAGCCAGCAAGGGGATGCCGTTCTATGTTGAACATGGAACTGTGTTGACTAATATACGATGAGATGCTCTTCAAGATAGAGAAATTGTTGATTCATTCTAGTTTGAACTCCGATTCTTATACAAGGAGATGACCATGCCTCATGCTTTGTCTTGCAATCGCGTCTCTTCCGCTCCTCCGCTTCTAATTGTCCTTCTCGCCCTCCTTCTCAACCTTCTCTACATCTTCCTCCTCGCTCTTTGTCTTCTTCTTTGGTGGCTCATTACCATCCACGGATTTCCCGTCACTTTTCTTCTCTTCATCCTGCTCCCGCAAGATCTTCCTTACCTCCATCAGCTCCAGCCCCAGCAGATTCAGCCCCCAAGACTCCTTGGCCGTCTCTGCATTCGCTGCTGTAAACCCGATTCCCCAGATGGAATCGTACGGGCTTGCTTCCACGATCTCACGATCACCCGTTGCCAACAGCATGGCTTTCAGAGATCCCTCAATAGGCAGCAGCTTACGCTTTGTGCCCTTGCCCTTGGGAGTGGTGCTCTTGTGAAAGCCCTGCTCCGACACGGCTTGGGTGAACTTGAGGATGTTGCCTCGGCGGACGATGTCTCGCCGGTTCTTGTCCCAGACCTCATTGTCAAAACCTTTGACCTTCCGGCCAAGCGCCTTGACTTTACGCGGGTGGTCGGCACGGAGAACCTCGAGGGCGACCGCGGGATCGTTGAACAGGAGAGCCTTGTGATGCATCATATAGCTGAAGGAGTCGGATGAGCTCAGAGATTCAATCAATATACATCACCCCTTCCAACTGAACTTACTGCTCAGCCGTCTTGTATGTCTTCTTGGGATCCTCGTCGTCCTTGAACGGACAATCATACCACTGTGACAGCCATCCTGTCTCACTGTCCGTTTCTCGCCAGAAGTAGAGCGGCTCAGGTGACGATGAATCTGACATTTTGTCAATTTTTGTCCTAGATTCCCAAATATCTAGGGTTTACGGTTTCAGTCATGAAAGTCGGAAGAAATCACGGTTCTATATACACCGTGAATCATGCCTGCATTGTTCAGTGGCTGCCTTGTCAGCCTTGTGGAGGCATTGGTTTAGCGCCGTGGTGGCTGAGTCCTCGCCGTTGACTCACGGCGCCTGAGGCTAGCAGGGGATTGGCATTGGATCTCGGCTCGGTTGATTCCGTGGAATTCTGGTTGGACTTGATAGCATTCTCTTGGATGGTTTGGTTGTCAAATGACCAGTTGCTGGAACTCTTGTATTTTCTGTGGCACTCGTGGATGCCTAGCGTGACTGTTTTAAGTGAGTGTTGTGGTATGGGTCTTCCGTGCACTGTGAGTGGATTATAAGAGAGCGTGAGTCTAAGCAGGAGGAGGTAGCCCGAGAAGCAGAATGATTCATGGTAGGCTGGGGCCTTGACGTAAATAAGACTTTTCTGCCTGTCCTTTTTGGTAAACACTTTGGAAGCCAACGACAACCGGGCGGTTTGTCACTACTGCCACAATGCCCTGACCATGAACTTTCGTCCGTGGACACTAAGATCTCTTATGACAAGAGAAATTATAATAAAACATAACCCTAGTATCATCTATCTAATTTACTAGGGTACCTAATTTAGGTGGAATAATTGGAAAATGGTCATGTCAAGCCCGGCGGGCTGGTTTGTGCCAGCAGTGGCCGGAGTCGTGTCTCCACTTTCGGCCGTCACCCAGACCCGGCCCTCGGACTCGGACCCACCCGGTTAAAGTGTGGTGGAGGATCTGAATTGGCATTAGTTTGGCCACAAATGGGTATGATGAATGCATACTCTGCCATACTCCATCTGCCAGAGGCGATATGGGAAGAGTGTTGATCAATGTTGTGTCGGAGATGCAGGAGAATGAACGATGCTCTCTGATCTAGGGCCAGGGTGAGATGAAAGAGGTAGGGGCATCATGGCTTGGGAGGGATTCCAATGCATTGCTGTCACTGTGCAGGCGAGCGGCAACCTGGGAACTTCATGTATGCAAATGGCGCTACTCAAATTGTAGCCAGAGAGCCCTAGACAGGACCTCGATTCCGCTGTGCCCATCACCCAGAGCAAGTCCAAGATGATCGTCTGTAACGACGCCGTGACAATGCCAATGAGGGATGAGGTGGGCCGTCCATTGGACAGTGCAACAGCCCGAGTTCACACACCACTATTCCGCAACTAGACAATATCGTCCAGGGTGGGCTTCGGATGCAACCCTCCCGCCCCACAACACGCCCACAACCTGGAACCGATTATAACCAACTACTGGAACACCATATTTATCAACTAGGGGATTTGGTCTAGTGGTATGACATTTGTTTTGCATTGTCTAGTCGACTATAGTGACTACAAAAGGTCGGGGGTTCAATTCCCTCAATCTCCAAGTGTATCAACGGTGCGCGAGTCGCACTGATTATCCTTTTGCTCCGTCGAAGCGGGGACAATCTGGATATTCTTTTTTTGTGATGAGCCATGCTCCACTAGGTAGTACATTATCACGGACTGTTTATTGGGAACTCGCCATCCACGTCGTTGATAGCATTTTCATGGCATGCAAGCATCAAGGTTGTCTCGTCTGCTGGTGTCACTGAAGTATCGCCGCCCACTTTCCTAACTGGGCGTCTCCTCCCCATTTGGGACGTACTCGAAACCTTGTTGATCTTGACATTGACTTCAACATGCTCGGCTATTCGACCCAGGACGTAGGGAAATGAGGCTCATGTAATAGTTAGAATTGGATCTCAAATCGTGGTTGAGTACCTTGGAGATATGCCGTTTACTAGGATGCTGCGCTGCGACCATGGGCTGATGCTTGGGATTTGAACGAGACTGATTGGATATGACGAACCCCAGCACAGAGTACACGAATACGAAGGCGACAAGTCCCGAGATTGAAATGGGCATGAAAGACCAGGGTTTCACAAGAGGATTTTGCGACAATTGCGATGCGATTGCGTCGGACCCGACGATTCAATTCCATCGCCTTCCTTTCAACGCAACCCGCTGATGGCTGCGGCGTCTCAATTGCGGAATGGCCGGGTCGATAATGCCGGGGCTTCTCCGAATTCCGCCGCGGCCTTTCAGAACTCGCACTTCCGGCCGAGGCAGACGAACTGCGGATGAATAGCTATTCTCACGTACACGTATTGCCATTCGCACGCAGGAGAGACACCCGTTTGTTGGACGCATCATGTCAATAAACTGATGTTTGGGCCGACTTGCGGACAGCTAGAGCGAGAGAGGGGTATTTGGTCATCCGAGAAGATACAGAAGATAGAAAAATAAATACGTACGAGGGTATTTTTAGGCTTATTAGTATCTGCCAGGTTATTCACTATCGAGTGTGTCATATACGTGCAAATCGCAATAGGTGCGTGCGAATTGCAATGCTCTCTCTTGGTTACGTAGTTCGGTCATCGGTAGCTGTCCCCCAGAAACTGGTGGGAGAGCTACTGTGTCGCTGTCGCAAGTGGGGTGGGGGAGCGGAACCCGACATCTTTAACCCAACATCTATCTCGGCCACGTCGGAGGATTGTAACCCTTCCTCCAAGTTCGCAGTTGCAAGCTACACCAAATAATCCACCTCAACTCAACTTCGCGCGCACCGTACGCTCAGGGACCTGCTCTTGCACCTGGCCCGTTTGCGACGCCGCCTGCTGTTCCGCCCTCCAGCTTCCAGCGCCTGGCTTCCAGCTTCGACCGTCTTCTCTTCACTTCTTCCGGCCTTCGCCCTTCTCTCCTCCGCCCTCCTCGCTCCGCAGACATATCGCACTCGTCAGCAATGGACCACGTTGAACGTCAGATGAACGACGCCGCCCAAGGCTTTGACGCGTATGTACCCTCTTCTCTGTCGCCTTCACCTTGTCGTCACAACACCGGACTAACAGTGCGACAGCTCATCCCTCGTCTCGCCCCTCAACCTCATCCTCCTCTCCGCCGTCCTCTACACCTGCTACGCACTACTCCGCCCGTCTCCGCCGCCTACGCTCCCACGCGACGCCCCCGCGACCGTCTTCCGCACATACACGCCTCACACGCTGCTTCCCTACTCGGGCAAGGACGACAGCCCCGTGTACCTTGCCGTCCGCGGCCGCATCTTCGACGTCTCCCGCGGCCGCAACTTCTACGGCCCCGGCGGCCCCTACTCCAACTTTGCCGGCCGTGATGCCAGCCGCGGCCTCGCCTGCGGCAGCTTCGACGAGGACATGTTGACGGAGGACCTTGACGGGCCTCTGGACAAGCTCGAGGGCCTGGACAACGAACAGATGGAGGCTCTGCAGGGCTGGGAGGAGAGGTTCCTCGAGAAGTACGAGGTTGTGGGACGCCTGGTGTCCGTGGCCGACTACGAGGCTACCGAGAAAGCTTGATTGATGGATGACCGAACAGCTTTATGGAAATGACTAGGACAAACAAACTGTGAAGACCAGAGGGAGAGTAGTCGATGAAGAAACCAACTATGACATCTATTGCCTGATGATATCTTATTTGAGTTTCCAAGGATGTATATGATGTACTGCACTCACAATAGGAGCACGTTGGTTCAAATTAAGGTGTACAAAAAGCTGCATTCACTGCAGAGGCTGCTGCAAAGCATGGGCCTTGGCTTTTGCTTCATGCGGGACGTAGTCCCAAACTCAGAGCCACCACCACCTTGAGAGAGTCACCCTGAGAGAGACACCCCGAGAAAGTCACCCTGAGATAGACACCCTGAGAGAGTCACCATTTCAGTCTTCTTCGAACTATAAAACGTGTTGGCCACCTGCCGTCCTTCCACTCCCCTTCGTCCTTCCTATCCCCTTCGTCCTTGATATCCCTCCTCCCTACTTGACATAATGAATCCGGACGCTGAATTTATTGAGGGGTGTCGGCTCGCTGCGCCGTTCTTCATTCCCAAGTTGGCTGCGATAATCCGTCGAAGTGTTCCCGGGAATTACAGCCTGAATCAGCTTTAACATAGATAATTCCCTTTAAATTCGAAGACGACAATGAATTCCCAACTTCCATCGATCACTTTGTTACGGCTACGAAATGCATTTTCTCTACCAAACTTCACGACAATCTCCTGAGCCGTGCTGCAGTATTTAATAAATTCTGCTCCACCGGTGCGTCAACTGGACCCTTCTCATTCTCTGATCATTTCATTCAGCAGCACACCAAAGCGAGATGGTGTTACGAAATCGCTATTATTATCCCATTCCACTGCCATACTATTTATAGAGCAAGTCACCCACCGAACAATAGCAATACCGCAGGCCCACGACCTACATCAACTCCCTGTCCAATTATACAAATAACTCTACAAGGTAATAATCCCTTTCAAGCTCGGGCCGATAACTACACAACACAAGCCATGGAGGGCGATGCATCACGGCATCTCCCTGGAGGTGGTGACTGGAATACAGTGACGAGAGCGGTATACTACGGCACCCAAAGCCACCGCGCAACTACTGAATCGTACAATGGCCTTGGGATATTAGACCTCAGAAACGCTGGTCGTCATTTTAAGGGCCTAGTTGATCAAATTAATCCAAACCAGGTGGCTCCCGTCACCTCCGGCTAACAGATGGCATAGACTGGCTTTAGCCCTCCGCAGTATTTCCTCTGGGCTGTTTCCGTAGAGATATGGTCGGGGATATCACGAAAAGCACAGAAGCTCGGCCCTTTTCGTAACGTACATAGGAATGCCAGGATCATAAACACACCGGCGTCATCCTCCTGAAATTCTACCCTTTTCAGCAAGTTAATTTATATATAATCCCTGACGGCCGCGAGGAAGAGTGGTACGGCATCTGTAAGTCGGAGATTTTTCGTCATGATCCACTTATGAGCCTAGATAAAGCCTGGGACTATTTTCCCGACATCCATAGAGGGGACCCATCGTCATGGCCTGGGGTCATTCACTGCCGAGAGAATGATCACCAAGCTGCCCAGTTCTTTTTGGGTCATGACCGACAGCTTTGGCGGATAGTATGGCATGGGGAGGCAATTTCGACCCTGAACCAGTCTCACCAAGCTACCTATGCGATTACAATACAGCCAACGCCAGCAACCCCAGGTGTCCCCTTCCACAGGATGGGGATAAACCCCGCGATTTCGATGCAGAGGATATGGATACGGATAAGAATGGATGTTCTTGCTTCTAGAAGATGCTTGGGAACCAGGCCCTTTGTAAATTGGAGAGGCGCAAAACATGCTTCAGTCAAAGTTTGAAATGCGTGTTATGGACAAGAAAAGGGTTAGGGATGGTATGGAATTGCTTAGGATTGGGGTTCCATAATTACTGGATGCTCCTTACTTCGATCATAATGAACTGTTTGCTTGCAACTTTGCCATAAACTCGACAATCAAATCACATTGCGTCCCCTTCATCTTTCTATCATTACTTGTAGAAACTAAGAAAGCAAATAACCCTTTCCATGGCCCTGACCAAAAGGGGGGGCAGCTGTCCTTGGGCGTTACGCTGGATACCCAAAAGCACAGCCCACGCGCAAACCAAACTCCATGCAATGCCTCCTATACACGCGTGTAGCCACGCAAACCCGATCCACATACAAGGTGGGAAGAAGATGTAGAGGAAAAAAAGAAAAATGCTGTGCCGCCTTGAGGGCATGTGTGAGGGGCTAGGGAGGAGCCCAGGCAAAAACAAGGAGACTCCAACTCCGCTCTGGCGCCGGTCTCGGGAAAATCATACATTCGCATCACATCTCTAGGACCGTCGCCGCTTTGCGGATAATAGCCGCCGTCTTGGCTATGATCTTCTGCGCAGCGGTCCAATCTCCCGCTTCGACAGTGTCGCGGATGGCGGGGAAGAATGCCTCATCGTATCCGGACCAGAGTTGCGGCCCAAAGACCACGTGCTTGAACTGTGTCCGGTTGGGGACCTAGAGAGTGTTAGTCGATGTTTCTTGGCTGGGGATCGAGGTTAACTTACGCCACCACCTAGTTCTAGGTCGAGTAATGACGTCTCAAAGTATGCCATCTTGTTGTTATACTCGAGCCGGTCCGCACCAATGTCGTTGGCCTCCCAGCCTCCGTTGGAGAGAACGACGCGGTCCCAGTACATCTCCCATTTTTCGAACTCTTCCGCGTTGTGCTGGACCAGTGAAACGGCATCCTTCAGCTCCTTAAATGAAATCTCCGTCTTGCCAGTCTTGCCCGATTTGCCGTCCCTTTTGCTGGTCTTGCTCTTGACCCAGTTCTCAAGATCGTTGACCCACCTCTCGAGGCGGTCGCCATATGACGACACGTCAAAGGGGAGAACGGCCCGGTCCGCCAGATCGAGGATGAGCAACCCAACCACCTGGGCCATGAGATCGTGGTACACAAACCCAGGATCAATATACTCCTCCATCAGCTCAAACTTGTCATAGCTCGAGTGGTACG